CCATACCTGCAATGCACAAGTCTCATACGCGATGGTGTGTGTGTGTGTGTGTGTGTGTGTGTGTGTGTGTGTGTGTGTGTGTGTGTTGTGTGGGCCTGCCTATAGGTGCTGGTGGACTCCCTGCTCAAGGCCGGCGCCAAGGTCGAGGTCGCCGACGACGATGGCGTCACGCCCCTCCAAGAAGGTACTCTTTGTGACGCATCACAAATTACGGCGATCATCTCACGCGGTCTCGGTGGTGGCTGCTGGTGGTGGTGGGGATGAACAGCGTCGTGGGGTGGTAGCGTGAGTAGCGTGCGGCTGCTGCTGGCGGCCGGGGCCGACCCCAACTCGCGGGACGTGGAGGGCAACACGTGCCTGCACAAGGCGGCCTTCGTGGGCAACTACGACGCCATCCTCCGCCTCGTGGAGGCCAAGGCCGAAATCGACGCCACCGACGCCGAAGGCGGTACGCCCTTTCTTGCCTATATCCCGGAGGACCTGTTGCACGCGCCAAATTAATTATTCGTTTATATCTATTTGGACCATTCACACGCCTGCGTGCTGCGTATACAGGTACTCCGCTGCACAACGCCATCTACAACGGCCACTACGATTGCGTGTGCCTGCTGCTCCAGCTGGGTGCCGGTACGCGTCCTAATTCACATTATTGTTGTTGTTGGTGGCCATGTTGGTAGTTCGTCATCGTTGTCGTCATCATCGAGGGAGGAGAGACTCATATGGGCGTGTGATCTCGTGGTGTGTGTGTAGACATCGACAAGGCCGACGGGCACGGAAACTGTCCGGTGCGGTTCGCCGTGTCGCGGGGCGACGGACACATCCTCCAGCGCCTCCTCGAGGAGCGCGCCAACCCCAACCTCAAGGACACGGTATATATACATGCCCACCCGCATATTCACTACGTATGGCACACCACTTTTGTGCGCGCTCATGCGTTGCGTCTGTGGTTCATGCTACACAGAGAAAGGGACTCGCGCCCGTTCACGTGGCGGCCTACCGCGACCACGCCCTGTGCCTGGGGCAGCTCCTCGAAGCCGGCGCCACCCTCGACTCGCGCGCCTCCGGTGGCATGGTACACCGCCCTCTATAATAAACAATTATTATTGATGAATACAGATTGAGCGAGTGTCTGACTGTCTGGTATGTGCGTGTCGTGTTGTGCCATGCGTGTGATCTGGTGCGTGTCATGCGTGTGCAGATGGCGATCCACTACGCGGCGTTTTCGGGCGCGATGTCGGCCCTCATGATGCTGCTGGGCTGGGGCGCCGCCATCGACTCGGTCGACGCCGCCCGCAACACGCCGCTGCACTACGCCATCGCGCAGGAGAACTACGAGATGGTTCAGTTCCTGCTCTACCACCACGCCAACGTCAACCACAAGAACCTCGAGGGGAAGACCCCGCTCCACTTCGCCCTCGAGATCGGGTACCAACTTTTCACACACATTCCCTGATCGCCCACTCGTCAACTGCCTCTGTGCGTGTGTGTCGTGTGTGTGTGTGGCGCCAACACGATTAATAACAACGTTGGGCGCGCAGAGAACTGGATTCCTGCATGCAGATGGTGAACTGCCTCATGACCAAGGTGCGTCTCTCTTCGTGCTGTGCCGAGAAGTGAATCAATAACCCGACGGCCAACATCTCGTGCGTGTGTGTGTCGTGTGTCGTGTGTCGTATGTCGTGTGTTGGTGTGTGTGTCGTGCTGTCATATGTGTGGTATGTCATCCAGGGTGCGGACACAGACGCCAAGGACGTGGCGGGCACCACGCCCAACCAGATGGCGCGGGAGCGGGGCATCACGCTCACCCCCGTCCAAGACGCCTGGAGCCTGCGCGTACCACGCCCCCTCCCTCGTCGCTTTGCTTTGGGATGTGTGCGAAGTGCTCTCTCGAGAACGACTTGAGCTGATGACGATGACGACGACGATTGCATCGTCGCGTGCCGGCGTGCAGGGCAAGGGTCGCACCACACCGAGCGTGTTCCCGAGCGGCGGTGGTGGCGGTGGCGGTGGCATGGGAGGTGGAGGCGGCGGGATATTGGGCACCTTCTTCCGACCCGCCATCAGCTGCCGCTACCCCGCCCTCGACGTCGACCTTAAGTACGCGCCACTCTTTGACACGACACGACACACACCGCACGCACCGACACGACTTGCATACTGACACACACGCTAACTGTTATTCAGTAATCCGCGGGAGTTGGCGGAGCTGGTGCGGAAGGACACGGAGGGGCAGGCGCCGGCGGTGTGGCTCAACATCCTGCGGCACCTCATCCTGCTGCCTCTCGACAAGTCCAAGGCGTACGCCCAATCTTCTTCATCATCACCACCACCACCACCTTGCACCACAACCGATGGTCTTACACGGTTTTTGGGGGGGTTGTGTGCGCTTGTGTGCAGGAATCGGCTGTGGGACATGCTGGAGAAGTTCGTGCATCGGGTGGTGCTCGCCAAGCCCAAGGACTTCCGCGACAAAGACCGTGCGCACACCCCCCCCCTCCTCCTGTTTCGGGGCAAGTGGCCGTAACGGTGCTGACGCCTTGTCTTTCCTCCGCAGTGGCCCGCATCACCTACGAGGAATTCGAGGCGGCCTTCGCCGAGAGGTACATCAGATTACGAGTGAGTGTGTGAGGGTGGGCGGCGTGGGATCTCACCTCACGCGCGCGTCGGGGTCGGCCGTGTCGCCGCCTACAATCAATTTAGGGCGCAGAAGGACTGCTCGGAGGAGTGGGGCCGCATCGAGGAGGCCCTCGACGCCCTCTTCCCCAACGTCGACCTGGGCGGACGCAAGTACGCGCCAAGCCTGCGCCTCCCCTCCTTGTCTCTCTACTCCGCCATAACTCTGACATGGCGTGACGTGGCGTCTGGTGGTCGTTGGGTTGTGGGTGGCGCAGCGATGACATATTGTGGGTATCGCCCATCAAGGAGGAGGAGAAGAAGGACCTCGCCGCCGCACCCGTGATCGGTACTCTCCCGCCCTCCTGTCTCTGCAATGCAACAGCAGTGGTGGTGGCCATCTCGTTTGTCGAAACACAACTCCGGACACGTCATCATCTGGTGCT